TGAGTAAAAGACATCTTGGAAATAGTTTCCCAGTATCAGGAAATGACAGAGGTTACCAGAAATGCTGCACCAAAGGGACTGCACTCTGCTACCTCAGCATACGTTCTTTTTTTCACTGGCTCAGCCTGAAAACATGAGCTTTAATATACTCAACTGTATAACTTAGAAAGGAACATATTCACCAGTGGTTTACTTCCTTTCTTCCTCAACTCAGAATCAAGCAGCTAAAGCACCTCATTGCCCCACCATAAGTATTCTTTCATCTGGAGAGAACAAAAAACTCAACTCAACTAGTTCCTGTGTTTATTGAAGTGACTACATGTTCTTTGCAGACAAGCTGCCATTTCATTTGTCTTCTGAGCTTAGCTACCTACTGGCATTGTTTGACTGATTACCCAACTTTTTGTAAAGTTGTTTAAAACCCATCATTTGGATTAAGTGCTTCATTACTCCAATGACCATTTGCTCCGTGCGCAGGAAATTGTGATGAAATTTACGAACACAACACACAGAATTAAAACTGTAATTTTATCATGAGTCAGTAATTGTAGTGTCAATAAGTACTAATGACCTATGGTGACAATTGTTATTGTTGCAAGGAATCCCCTGGCCACAGTGAAGAAGCAGGAAATGCACACTGTTAAGAGCTGAAAATTCCTCTTTGTGATGCTGTTTATTTCAGTAAATTCTAAACAAACCGGAGGTTAAAGAACTTCCCTCAGCTTCTGGGCCATCCCTGAAAAGTCCAGTCAATCCCTAAAGTAGCAATCCAAGGTGTTCCAAGCAATCTGATATGCCCCAAATGCAGATGTGAGCGGGTAGGAAAAAGCACAGGTAACATTCATACTCTAAATGTTCAATTTACAAATTAATTACAAATTAGGCTTAACGTGCAACACACACCTTAAGCATTATGCTTAAACTATACAAAGAAAGCAAAGTTGGAAGCTTGTGAATTTCAGGAAATCTTTTCCTATTCATTTTTTATTTCATTAACTATAAATTTGTTGTGTGTTTGTATGCAAAAATATCTTCACTTATTTTGCGGAAGCTTTTTGTACAATCTTTTGACTTAAGGAAGCCAGAAAAATGTCAGCTTCAAAGAAACAGAATCAGAGGAGAAAATGAAACAAACATGGTGCTGATGGAATCAGCCCTAGGGATGTTTCTCATAACATCTGGTCTGCTACTTTTCTCTTTGCTAGACAACTAACTGCTGCTGGCCAAGGCTGAAACCACAATGCTAAGTTAGATTGATCTTTGGTCTGATCCACTACAGCAGTTGTCATGAACTACTTCTGCTGGCAAGACTAATGGCCAGGGGGAATTTTAAAAAAGACCCTTTCCCTTTGTAAGATGACAGTATCAAAAGACCAATTATCAATGAAATCACCAAGAATTCTTCGCAAAAGCTGAAATACTAGCAACTAACCTTGGAAGAGCGATGGCTGGATGTTGCTGACATACTGGAATGCATTTTTAAAGAAGACCAACATTGTGGAATACACCACTTGATTCTTATATTTAGCGTGTGCATCACTGTCAAAATTACTGATATATCTGCAGAGGTCTTTCATTCGATGCAAAATATCACCAAAGCTTCTGAGGAAGAGAGACAAAAAGAATTCAGGATGTTACACAGACTCCAAAACTAAAGGAAAGAATGCATAATGAATACGAAAACCTGAATGTTTTGGCTGAGGAAACGCCCTAGCTGCAAGTCAGTGGAGGCTGGGAATGCACACCAGTGAAACTTCACTGAACATTCACCATGTTTCTCTTTGCTGAGGCACCTAGGGAAGGATACCTCACAGTACCATAGTTCTTATGCATGACTTTCATCAACAAAGATTTAGTTTAGAGACTAATTTGAAAGTGCTCCCTGGATCTACGTTTTTGCTTTACAGGGTACAGTCTTGAAAGAAAAGCTGCAACTGAGTTTACACAGAACGTCCTCACATTAAAATCCTTCTTCAACCCATCTCCTTAAGAGTGAAAAAGCCAAATTCTCCTTGAGAACAAATACCCAGAAAAGTACACATTTCTCACCTTCTTCCCTTGTCCATTTGCCATTCACACCTCATTCCCACCACAGACAATATTTTAAATAGCCTCTCCCAAGGATCTGTAATCTGGGATGATTTCTCTGTGAGACCATCTATCACATATTTCTGAGAGCTACGCTTGCTTGGAGACATAATATCAGAGGAGTCTTGTGAACCTAGGAAACAGCACATTTTTCTATTCATAAAGAAATCAAACCAACTGATTTACTTTCAAGGAGACACATTAAAATGTACATGGGAGCTTTTGGGGTAACCATCCTTTACTGAGAAGGCTAGGAGGGAGCAGGAGGCATTTCTGCCTCCTCATACAAGAGAGCTGCTAGGCCGGATAAGGAGATCTTGGCCCTTTTGTCCTAGCTCTCAGTACACATGTTGAACCATCATGAGCATCATGACTAAGTAGTTGAAGCATCGTGAAGTATTTTGGTATCAAAGAACTAAGAAGCATCCAATACTAATATTAATCTTTGTCTATAGTGTACATTACATAAAAGCAATGCATTCTTCATTTATGTACGTCACTTCGGTAATACTAAAATACATCCCAAGAAAGGTTAATTTCATAAAAATACGCTCACCTTGATATTGGCTTTCTGTCTGTGTAGATCTAGTTACATAGTTAATATAGAATTCTGCTGCTTTATTCAGATATTTATATAATAAGCTGGCAGGAAGTCGAACATCAGGGTTGTTAATTATTAGAGGAAGAACGTCACAAACTAAAATAGAAAACAAACAAAAAAATCCTTTAGGTTTGTGAAGTTTTCTTTGTTCTATTTGTCCTAAGTAAGGTTTCTCAATCAGCAATGTAAGCCTCCATCTCTGGCTGACCATACAGCCCAAAAGATCAGAAAGAACCTCACATGAAAGACCGATACCAGTTTGTACCATACAGTCAGCCTGGCCTAATGTGGCCAGAGCCTCTACTGACTAAAGTGGTTTTCTAATCAATATCTTGACTGAAGTCAGAATCTGGCCATACTAGAAAGTTGTATAATAAAACAAGAACATTAATACTTTCTTACCAAATAATTTTCTAAAACAATTCACTGGGGATTCTTGGTCTTCAATACTTTCAGCATCTAATAACGTTTCTCCAAGGCCAACCTGGGTAAGCAGAGCTGAGAATCAAACACTGGACCAATGGTTTTAGAAACTTTTTGAACTGCGAGTCAATGGAGTTGAACAATAACTTAATGGATGCATGAGCGGCAATTCACTACATGGAAACTGCACGTGCTAGTCTCTAAATATATCGTTAAACTACCCCTACTTAACAGCAGATGAAAAGCAATGCTAGAAGGCAGCAAAACAACACCAGGAGAAAAAACCGTGCACATGACTGTATCAGTAGAGATGTGCACAGACAGCTGAAAGCACTGGAGGTACCAGGCCTGAAAGCTGCAGCTTGTCACCTAAGCTGTAGTAACTGACTGTGCGCTCTGCCTGATGCTAGTGTGAATGAGAATATGTTAGTGTTAGTCTCAGAACTAACAGGTTTTACGGTCCTTAAACTATTCTTAAACTGTCCTTAAATAAAGTAGGTCATCATTTAAACAGCTCCAGCTGCAGTTTCGTAAGTCCAAGCAAACATGCTGCTTGTTAGAATCTAGTTATAACCTCAGAGCACTCTGCCCCCAATGAGAGGTTACCAACAAAAAGCTGAAGCAATACTCTTTCTTAGGCTACAATACTCCTCTACACTCTTCTTTGTGCTATTCGACTTTTTCAAAAAGCACAGAATATTCTCTGCATTTACAAAACAAAACCAAATTGTTTTCTCTGCTTCCATTTGTTTTCTGCGCAATTCTTTCCTGGTAATAACCTCAAGATACAGCAATCTGAGCTATTAACCACAATTAAACATGAATAAAGAGACTCACCCTCTCACTAGGCAAAGGAAAATGTTTCAGCAAAATCCCAAGAAACAGAACGCCAATATCCTGAATAGTTACTATGAGCTTCTCTTCTCTTACCCCGTGTTGCACCACAGTCTCTGGGAAACGTCGCAGTAGCAGTAGTAGCATTTCTGCCCTTTCTAACGTGTTAAAACACTGCTCTGTGGCCTTCAGTAACATTTCACACTGGACCCGACCAGGAAGGGTTTCAAATAATCCTTTTTAAAAAAAAAAAAAAAAAAAAAATGGTTTAACTTGCTATGTCTGAACCTTAATGGTGACTGAGAAAGGGTAAAAGACTAGTCAACATCACCTTGCCATGCAGAGTGAAAGAGATTTCCTTATACTTTTTTCTGATTTTAGTACCTATGCCTGGAAAAAAGTGGCTGTTTCTTTCAGACAAGACCATATGAATATTTATCTGTGCTTATTCGGGTGCATGCAATTTGCATTAACAAGACTGCTAATGACTGAATATTGAAAATCCTAATACTTAAATATGTGACATTTTAAGGTACTTTTTCATGAATGTTAATTTAATTTTTTTACTTACATTCCACTTCTACAATTAACACTTTGATTACTAAACGGTAGGTTTTTTTCCATTTAAACTTCCAACAAGATACTAAAAAGAAACCAACATATTCTCCCCGTCAATTCTATGTATTTTGTCTCAAAAATAAACACACCCCATGAAAAATCAAATGTTTCCTTAACCGGAACAGCCTGTATACAGAGTTAACACACTGCTTATCCTTAGAGCTTCTGAAGCACATATTCAAATAGCAGACTATAATCTGTCAAGTGTAAATCCTGCTTTCAAAACTGCCTGCGATTGCCAGAGGTGAATGCCAAGCTCCTGGGTCCCTGTTCATTTTCATAACCCTCACTTCATACATACAAATTCATCCCATTTTTATGACCATTCATTGGTCTCTGCAATGATGATTCACAAGTCCCATTCCATTTATTCCCTATGCAATCCTTTTTCTAAGTGCCTGTTGTTCTGGCAGACTTAGTCTACCCATATCAGAGACGAAGCAATGGGAATCGGCTTCTCATGTCCCTTTGTGCTTCCTAAGCCTAACACACTGAACAAAGTCTCTAAGGTTGAACTGAGAAAAAAAAATCTGCAGCCCACAAGCAAAGTTAAAAAGATTGACATTTATTTGCCCTGCTAGATATGTAACCAGAGGGCTTGTCTTTAGATTCCTCCAGGACTCTCCCTTTTTATTGAATAGAACCTTTACCTCTTAAAAATTGTGTCTGCTTGTCCTGCGAGTCATTCCTTAATGCTGATGTAATAACGCTGATTTCCCTCCATACAGCAGGTTGGTCTGGAAAATTCACAAACCTGTAATAGTTTGAGATGAAAAATGCACAGAGATCTCAAAAATCTGTTTCCAAGACAAAGCCTTCCTATGAACGAATGTGCATGGGCAAATGGAAAATAAAACCTTCCCTTTTACTGTTTATTTTTAATTAATAAGACCTTTTCAGCTTAATTTATTCACATGGATTTCCAAGAACACTCACGTTATATTTTTGGAAACTCTTGACATTTATGGAAGCAAGCACCTGGCATAATTTTAGAGTTCCAGCTCTGATTACTTACATGTCATAGAGCAGCCTGCCTGCAGATGCTGTCCTTTCAGCATTCCTCTCAATAGTGTACATCTCATACTGCAAAACAGAAGAACACATTTATGAACCACGTTAGTCCTAGTCTGCAAACTGTCCCCAGTTTGCCACAGCAGTCTGAATAACAGAAAATGAAAGGACTGCAACATTTGCGGTAGGAATTAGGAGCTGAGTTTTGACCATCTAATCACACATTAAATTAGGCATAAACTTCTGGATGATAAGTACTCTAATATTAGCATGATGGCTTTATTTTTACACAAATAAAAAAACCTTAGTGAAAATTCAAAGACTTCTTTGCCCAGGGTTTGTTTCCAGTCAAATGCAATGCAAAAACCCATACAAAAGCCATTGGCAAGGGAGCTACTTTAAACTTCTATTAGAAAGGACTATTTAATTTTTATTTCAACAGCAAACCCAAACGTTTCATTACATGCAAACACAAGAGGCAGAAAGGGACCTTCCCCTCAGTCACTAAAGAGCCAACACTTCCACCTCGCAGCCCGCAGGACCCGGCCCGCAGCAAAGCGCGCACAGCGGCGACTTCCCTTCAGGGAAACCCAAGGAACAGCCACCAGCTCGCCACTTCGTTGTTAACCACTGGGCACCCCAGCGGGAAGCCAGACCCCTGCGGCGCCGCCGCCGCACGGCTCCGTCTCGCCCAGCCGCCCTGGGTGTTCGAGGGGGAGGGACATGCGACCAAGAAAGTTTGCAAAAGAGCGTTCGGCTGCGAAACGCGGGGGCAGAGTCGGGTCCCTGCCGGGGCGCTGGGCCGGACAGCTCCGGGGGCGCTGGGCCAGGCCTCCAGCTCGGTGCTAGGCCCGGACGCCTGTCAGGGCGCTGTGCCCGGCCCCT